GGTGTTCTATTTTAAGCAGGAGTTTGCAACGCAAATCAGACACTTCCGACCCTATGAAAGAAATATAATATATTGTAGATAAGCATAATTTTTGTCAATTTACACATGTCCATTTATCCGTTTCTATGCAAAATATAACATTTTTTTTAATTCATAACTAAAGAGTCGTTAATAATCTTTATACTTCGAACATGAGGTTGTAACCTAAAAGCAATTGTCCTTTACGATTTCTTTATATAAAATTGTATTCTGGCTTTTCGTATAATTTTCAAGAAGTAATTTTTATAGAGAATTGAAAAACTAGTAGAAACCCCGTTAAAACTTTGCTAAATTCGAAAAAAAAATGTTGTAAATTTTTTTTATTAGATGATGTTCCAGGTACAGGTAAACTAAAGTTAAATTATGTTTTGTGTAAAGTAAAATCACAATCTGTGTGTGTATATCCGCTTAAGCGTAAACCCATTTTTAGCAGCATTTTGAATTCATATGCGAAAATACACAAAATTGGCTTAAAGTTTTAAGTTAAAGCACAATCTGTGAATCCCTTAAATCAAATAAGTCCATCGATTAATAAAATTTCATTTTTTATCAGCATATTCAATCAATATGCGGAAATATAGTACTCGAAATGGGCTTAAAGTTTTAATCTTGAGATTAATAGTGATCTGCGGAACTGCGGTTTACTTATTGCGCCTGAGTCCCTAAATATCCTGGCGCTTACCGTGGGTTAAGTCTAATCGCGCTTCTTAAGTTAACTATAATCCCAGCTTAATCGCTGGATCAGTGGCTAAGCATCATTTTCCGGAATGGAAGTGAGCGAGTTACCTGCTCAGGTCAGCTGATATTTTCAACGTGTCTTAAATTAACCCAGAAGGGATTCAACTTTTTCAATATGCATAATCATAAAAAGCAATTTGTTACAATTTTTGCTCTTAAGACTTTTACCTCTTTTAAGCAGATGGGTCATAGCTCAGAAAAGAAAAAACATGTTTTCGTCTACCTTCAGAAACGGATTAATTTTTTTCGGACAAATAATCCAGTCTTAAGCATGGTGATTAAGCTTGATCCCTGCGAAGGGGCGTAATATTGACGGATTTTCCTTAAATCCCTCGCCTAATCTCCGGCTTAGAGCGCGCCGCGATTTTTTTCGCGACTCAGCCCTCTTTGTTTTTTGATTTTCTTCATTTCGCAAGAAAGCAGGGTTCTCGAATAAGGATCATAATTATGGAATTCCTAAATACAGTAAGCAGGGCAGACGGCAATGCAAGAAATGGTTCTACCTGTAAGCGTGGTTCCTCAGTTGGCTCTAGCACCCTAGACTGGTGTATGCCACAGGTAGGTAGTAGCCTTGAATTCGTGGATATTAAGAAGTCAAATTTCACTTAAAAACAACAAAAAAATAGGCAAAAGACAAACAATGCAAAAAATATGCAAAACTGAACTAAATCCGACTTAAGATCGTTAAATCATAAACAGGGCTAGGCCAAAATGTTTACAGTTTCCATGCCATCCTTGCATCGTAAACGAATTTGCCACTTCGGTTTTAGCTACTACTCTAATCTCACTCTCGCCCACACCTCTTGCAATATTGACTCTACTTTTTACTTTTTTACGAATAGACCCTCGTACTTCCGTTTTTTATATTTTTTATGGCTTGCATTCTACCTGCTATTTTATGGCTTTTTACCGTTTTTTAGCCAGTCAATTTGTTTTCTTCTTATCGTTTAATGAACTTATTCCTCAATGAAGCAAAAAACTAATTTCATTTTGTAAAAAATAGAATGCGTATGTGTTCAGAGAGATATATATTTGTTGTTGAAAATATAAAAGATATTTGTAATATTTCCGGACACTATACCAAGACGAATAATATGAACCCTATTTGCGTGACGGTAAACACTATTTAACTCATATTTTTATTATGAAAACAAATGTTGATAAAAAATCATATTCCGTTAAATAAGGTAAAAAGGTGTTCTTACCTTTCCTCTGGTTTGTTTTCAAAATCCTAAGTCCTTTTGGAAGGTAGTTTTCGTTTTTGATTCTAACAAACTTCAATTAAAAACGGCAAATCCATTTTAAAATATTGGCCTTGAAAAGATCCCATATGGTCTTGTCGTGTGCTTGGCATGCGATCTAACACAAAATTAATCTTCTTCCTCCTCATTAAATTGATATAAATTATTAGCGATCCCTTGACAGTACGCGTGGCGCAAGTATGTCGAGAACATAAAAAACGCAACATTTTTCTTTAGGGATGCTGCTGAAGACGTTACGAAATCGGAGATCGCGGTGAATATACATCAGCGGGTCAATGGATTTCGGAATTTACGTAATAGTTAAACTAAAATATGCTAGAAAAACAGAAGTTTACCCTTTCTTAATCCAAGTTTTAAGAAAGTGTCCTGTACATCTTTAAGATTCTTCAGAAAAGGGGTTCCCATGGCCGTTAAAACTAGATTTACACAACGCTTTAGTCTAAACCTTACCCGTTTAACCCTGGACAGTTTCATCCGTGGATTAGGATCGACGATTAGCGAGTACCTATGGAAGTAAGGCGAACATTTTCAATCCTGAGCTCGACTCGAGTCTCTAAGGATTTCTTTTAAATCAGCAATTTTGTTTGTCTAGCGTATGCGTTTTTATTATAAAGTATGCGTACATGTTGCATCCAACTTTAACATAATCATTGCCCCTCGAACAACGACAACAACAATAACGATAAATCAAAAACCAAACCCTTAAAAGTATCTAACAAAAACCGATCGAGTGTTACAAATTGTTAAAAAATTGTGGGCACGCTTATGGGTTGCCAAACAACAAAAAAACCCTATTTTGCACTTCTAGGGGTGATTAAAAGTGCATGCCTTGCATTTGATGTTTTAAGCCTTCACTTTCTATTTTTTTCCCCTTTTTTAACAATACCCTTTTTGTTGACAGCCCTCTTATTCTTCATTTTTTGTAAAAAAAAAAAACGCATCTTTTTTATCGTAACTGAAAAAGTTGTAATTTTGGTTTGGCGTGATTTTCTTGTGAGGGTGCGAAAAAAACTGATCTTAACTCTTTTATAGTAGTAGTAGCTGACGGAATAAAGTTTCATGGTGAATCAACAAAAAGTATTTTTCAAGATGGAATACTACTTTTTAACAAAAAATAGGCCCGCATTTGTTAACCTAGGTTAGTTTTCCCACATTGAATCTTATCAACGAACTGGACCATACGCACTTTTCTACGCAATGCTGCCCCAATTAAATAAATAAACTGTTTAGCACGTGTGAAAGTCGTTGTTGAAAGATGTTTCTGTATTCTGAATTTACTTTGCTTTCACTTGTTTTATTAATATTCTCGTGTATTGATACTGAACAAAGTAAAAACAGATAAGGCCCGGAACCTATTAAAACCAGTTGAGCTTCAATTATTTTATTAATATAAATCTGTACCCCGCTTATCAACCAAAACCAAAATTTTTCTGACTAATCCCTGAAACCTGGGAGTAAGCTAAAGATGTGCTGAAATTGCTCAGTTCAGCCCAAAACCCCAGAAATTCTTATCAATAGGGTCAGTTATGGGTGCTTGAATAATGTTGAATGCCTTCTGCGAAATTTACTTTTCTTTAAATCTTTCGCTGAAGCCAACCGTTCTCATTCGGTGACAAAAACAATTCGAGTTTTACGTAACATTATGCAGACAAAAATATGAGCGTCCTTCTCGTCTATTGTTTGGTTTCACTTTCGAAAAATTCACGGTAGTTTACATTAACCGCCCGTGAGTTCTGTTCGTCCTTGGCCTACCTACAAAACCTAGAACACCAATCTAGACCCATTTTCACCATAAGTTCTGCCCAGACTATCCTGTCATAAAAATATACATAAAACCATTTAAAAGTCAATCCGCAAAAGTCACAGAGAACGTCTATAGGAGTAGAAAAACGCCACTGATCCAGCTTCTTTAACTGTTTTTTATGATGGGGTTTGTCTAGCATTTTTTCTACCTGAACCTTCTTTACGTAGTTCCTTATTTACCGATTACAATTTGTTTTTTAGACGTGTGCCAATAATTAGATACCCATTAAACTAAACTTCCCCTTTTTTGTGACTTTGCTCAACAGGCTAAATAGAAAGGAAAAAACTCACTCGACAATTTTTGTAAACCCTCTAGGTTCCCTGACGATTTGGGGACCCGTGAAGCTGATGTTTTGTTTACTTCCTCTTCACTCCCAAAGCGCACGCTTCAGTTTCAACCCTGTCCATGACATCTATTTTTCCGACTTTTGGCTCTTTCTCTCTCGTTGTTTCCCTTCCAGCTAGTACTTCCTTGGCGTTCATCCCCTTCGCAGTTGAGTTCTTTTTCATTATACATACAAGTAAAAAGGGGAAATGGCCAAGGCACATTCTGAGTGAGTTTTGTGAAACCTCTGGATCCCCGTTTCAAAATATTTCGGATATGATCCTTGTGCCACCTAAAATTTTGTTCTAGTGCAGTTTTATGAAGGCTCTTAAAAAACACAAGCGGAAGTGGTCATAAGTTTTTCGTAGTTTCGGTTTTTTATGTTTTATGGCGCAAAAAACGCTCAGGTCATAAATGTCTGTAGTACGCTAACTAAAGATATTTCTCACAGTCGTGTTAAAAAACCGCGCAGTCTTAAGCCAACTACGGCTTCAAAATTCGAGTGTACCATCGGTTATCTCTGTCACACCAATTTGCATATGAAAAATCAGCATTTTAGGTAAAAAAAGGAGCCGATGCAAATAACTCAACTCAACGAAGTGCTGAAGTTCTACTTTACCTGCCTTGAGTCTGGGGATCGTTTTTCGCCTTCGCCGTGATGCTTTCTCTTCCTTTCTTCCCGTGCATCTGCGTGCGTGTGAGCGGGAGAGCGAACTGAGTGCGTGGTTTGTGCCAGTGTGCGTGCTCTGTGAGGGTGAGTGAGGGCCTCTCGCCGAGGCAGAGAGTACTTATAGTTAGCGCACGCAGCGAATTTGTATCAGTCGTGATTTGGATTCGTTGGTAATAGGAACAACCATTTGTTGTGCCACACACAAACGCGAATACAATAATCCTAATCAAATTACAACTACCTCATTTTGCATAATCAGTGAACTTTTATAAAAGGAAAATCAAGGAAAACTCTCTACCTCAAAGTACAAAAGTGCGTGAAAGAAATATTCCATATCTCCTAAAGTGCATCAGTTTCTAAAATTACAATTTGGTGTCTACGAATTTGAAACCCAATACATTATAAAGCAAACCAAACAGTGTAATTGCTTTCGCTAAGAAGAAAGTCGAAGAGACAATCACAGAGACAACGAGTTGATGGCCATATCAATGCTCCAAGACGCACAAACACGAAGTAAGTAATATCCAAGATTGTAATAAATCGAATTTTTTTGTTTCAACCGCGTTAAAGTCCGTGCATTTTACTCGTTTTAATTTCAAACATTTGTTGTTAACAAAGTTTTGTGTCTTTAGTTTAAAAACAAAAAGATAAGCTCACTACACCCCTTGAAAAGGACATGTCTTAAAGCAAATGACTAACGCCATTTCTAGCTTTTGGCATATATGTATGCATTAGCCTTTGTTTACAAGTTTAACCAGGGACCGGCACTCATCTCGTTATCCAACAAAATAAAAGCTACAGAGCCCCAAACAGAGAGGAGCCACACAAGAAGCGTGAGCATTGAGCACTCTCTTACACATGTAACATATGTGAAATTCGTTGCTCTTATAAAGAGACTATTTTCGCATAGCATCAAGCCACACTCAAGTTCTTCCTTATAACATTTTCATCGTTGTGAGCACTCAACTAACATTTGTTTTTAATTTTTTTTTTTTTTTTAGATTTAGCTGCTGCGTTAGCTGGCATTAAGCGAGAGGAAGTCGCTGTTGATCGTTCCATGTCACTATCGCCTCCCATGTCGGCCAACACATCAGCCACAGGCGCCAGTTCGATGTACCCGGCCATAGGTCTCCAACAGGCGGCCGCTGCCTCAGCATTCGGGATGCTGTCACCCACTCAACTCCTAGCTGCAAACCGTCAGGCGGCCGCTTTCATGGCCCAGCTTCCCATGAGCACATTGGCCAACACTTTGTTTCCACACAATCCGGCGGCTTTGTTTGGAGCTTGGGCTGCCCAGCAGTCTCTCCCATCACATGGCACGCATTTGCATTCTCCGCCAGCCAGTCCCCACTCGCCAGTGTCCACGCCCCTAGGAAGTGGCAAGCATCCGTTAAGCTCACCCATCAGTACGCCACAGCACAATGAGCCGGCGAAAAAGACTCGGAAGTTGTCGGTGAAGAAGGAGTTTCAGACGGAGATCAGCATGAGTGTGAACGATCTGTACCACACATCGGGTGGTCCCATATCTCCGCCTTCCAGTGGCAGTTCTCCAAATTCCACTCACGAAGGAGCTAGTGGAAATGCAGGAGGTGGTGGCATCTCCAAGGATCCATCTAGGGACAAGAGCTTCACATGCAAAATCTGCTCCCGCAGCTTTGGCTACAAGCACGTACTTCAGAACCACGAGCGCACCCACACCGGCGAGAAGCCTTTCGAGTGCCCCGAGTGCCACAAACGGTTTACCCGTGACCATCACCTTAAAACTCACATGCGTCTGCATACTGGAGAGAAGCCATATCATTGCTCGCACTGCGATCGCCAGTTTGTTCAGGTAGCCAATCTTCGACGGCATTTGCGAGTCCACACTGGAGAGCGCCCCTATACTTGTGAGATCTGCGACGGCAAATTCAGTGACTCCAATCAGCTTAAGTCCCACATGCTGGTCCACAATGGCGAAAAGCCGTTCGAGTGCGAGCGTTGCCACATGAAGTTCCGACGGCGCCACCATCTGATGAATCATAAGTGCGGCATCCAGTCGCCGCCCACTCCGGCTCTGTCGCCAGCAATGAGTGGCGATTACCCCATGGCAGCCACAGCAATGGCTCTTGAGTCTTCCACCAATAAATTCGCGGCGATGTGTGCTAGCTACGGAGGTTCTGAAGAGTCGGTTGAGTTAGAAAAAGGCACCTTGGATGAAGATGCCCCATTGGATTTGTCTGAGGACGGAGCCAGCTCTGTAGATGGCCATTGCAGCAGCAGCATCGCACGCCGCAAAGCACAGGATATTCGACGAGTGTTCCGCCTACCACCCCCCCAAATCCCTCACGTTCCCAGTGATATGCCTGAGCAAACCGAACCTGAGGATTTGAGTATGCATTCGCCCCGTTCTGTTGGATCTCACGAACAAACCGAAGATATTGACATGGATGATTTGGAAGACGCTGCTGCTCTCTATCTGCGCCAGAATCACCATTAGACCAGTCTAACACTTAATTGTATATAGCCATGATCAGTTTTCATTAGATGAAATTGAACGGCATTAATCCACCCAAAATTAAAAATTTTGTCATTTCACAGTGGAGAGAAAAATTGTTGCAACAGGAATTTAATGATAAGTACAAGTAACAAAAATTTTTAATAAATAAGAACTTAGAGAATTAAAAGCATATAAACCAAACCAAACAAAAAAAATAATAATATTGTACAAAATTAGATAAACATGTCATAAGCTTATCGCCGTCAACCCCCACCAAATCAAACCGAAAATGTTGTGCCATTCTTAATACTAATTTTATTTATATTCCTAGGTTTTTAAAGTCCCACAAATTGTACATATTTAGCTTATGCAACTGCCGATTGTAAATTAAAAGGCCTTGTGGAAATTGTATTTTACTACAAAATTAAACGACAAAAAAAAAAAAAAAATAATGTCAATACATCAAATGATTTAATTTTATACAGTAGCATATTTTATTTTAATTAATTCATATTCTTAAAGAAAGCAATGCCAATAATTATGAAATCAAAACTAACTTTAAGTTAAAATATTAAATAAACCCTATACGCTCATTGTTTTGTTTGCCATTGATGATTAAAACTATTATTTAAATTATTAGCAAGTAATTTTATGAAGTAATATTGTTTTATTTGGCTCAAACACAACTTTTATAAATTTTTATATTTTTTTTAAATGTTCAATGCATGAAATAGAAAAAATAAATTTATTAGAAAACTTTAAATAATTTTGTCTTTATTTGTATTGTTTTCTTTTTTAATTAGTTATAATAATTGCTGATGGCACTGTTATCTGCATCTTCTTCCAATCTTAAAACATAGTTTGTTTGTTGTAAGCTATTGTAAACTTTTGTAATATATTTCTAAAGCATTAACAAATAATTAACACATAGCTCAATGAGTAACCGAAAAATAATGTTATTCATATTTATCTTCATAGGCCAGAATATTAATTTTAAGTGTAAGACTTGAACCAAATAAACAGGAAGAAAATGCTATAACCAAATACCTCTTATACCTCTCTGTATTGAAATTGTTGTGAGCTGAATAGTATATACATACAACAATTTGGCAATCGTACAATTCAACTGAATTTATATACAACACTTAGAAAAGAAATTGAAAAGCAAATCCAACGTTATATGTATTGTAATTTTGATGCATATTTTAATGGGAACTAAAACTAAAACCCAATTTTGAATATTAGATGAATTAGAACTAAGTGTATATAATCTATTTATATAAAACATAGTTTAAGTTGTACATAACAAAATAAACTTACCTTACATAATAATTTAGTGCAATCTTTGGTTCAATTTATCGGTAAACTAGAAAAATGCCGATACGTTCTTAGTTTGTACGTTCTAAAGTCAAAAATGCAACAAAACATGATGTAATTTTCTTTGTTCATTCAAGTGTATGGTATACAAGTTCCTCAAGATTAAAAGATTACCAAAATAATAAAAGCAAAACAAGCGCATTTCGTATCTTTTGAAATTCAGCGCATTGTACGGAAGACCTCATATATGTTTCATATTAATTGTGTACATTAATACTCGACACTTAAGTGTAGTAAGCTTAAACCATTAGATGTAATTAAATATTTGGAAATACAGTCAATTTTTATGTAAATAAACTTAAGCTCAAAACGTGCAATATATTCGAAAACATGCAAATCCATGACACAAATTGGATTTATTGTGCGGGTTTTCTATTTAACCAATTATCATCTATTACATCAGAAACATAAACTAGAAAAATTACAAAATCTGAAATAATTGCACCTCAAGATGCGCATACAACAAGCAAACAGAGCTACATTTGTACTTCTTTTTGTTTTATATTTTAATGTTATGCTCGCGAGCATTTAAATGTTAAGAAATGTTTTAATATTACAAACATATAATTTTAACTTTAAAATTATTTATTAATTTAAAACTAAAACAAAGTATGTTATAATAAACAAATTGTATCCCCTGAAAAAAAAGTATCTATTACAATATTGTGTTAAAAAACGAACGAATGAACTTTCTCTATCAACCAAAAACAACCCCGCCACAAAAAATTAGCCAAAGCTTTTTTCCAAAAGGCGACAACGGGCAGCATTACATAAATTTTTAATTTATGCAAACGAAGCCCTTTCGCATTATTTTACATTTGCCACAAGAAGCCCCTAATGCTGTCGCCACCAACCTCCCCAGTACCCCCCACTGCCCAACCCAGTTCCTCCAGTCATCCCTTCACCGGAATTTAAATGTGCGTCTGAAGGCAGCTGAGCAAAAACGAATATAAAAAACGCGCCGCGCAGCCAGAAAATGTCACAGTGTTTTTCCCCATTTAATCTCCAGTGAGAGAGCAAACAACTACAAGGATACGAAGAAAAGGCGACACCACCCACTCATCCTCGACATCCCCCACCGCCTTTTATTCAACCTTCCAGCGAAACTGACGCCTCTACTTCTTTGTGCCCCTTTCAACGGCCAAAAAAGGCTTCATCTTGGCAGCCCTGTAAATATATAATGGCATCATGTACGAGTATTACATAAGGGCGTCTTATGTGCTTACATAGAAAGGTCTCAAAGAGTGAGATGGAGGACAAATGCTCGCGTCCTGCTCTGCTTATTAGCATTTTAGCCTTTCTTCGTTGGAGCTCCGTGAACGCTGTCAGCATACACGTAAAAAAAATAATAGTTGTAAGGCGAAACTTGCATTCTTTTCTACCATTTTGTTTTGTTTACTCTTTTTATTTCTTTGATGTTGCTAAAAATGTTGACTATAAATTTTCCTGAGTGTAGACATTCTTGCCTCTTTCTCACCCTCTAATACTTCTCATTTTTTTAGCTTTCGAGTAAATGATTCGGATTTGGGGGCAGAAAAATTTTTTCAAATGAGTTTACGAGTGTTTGGTTGTTAGGATTTTTCGTGCAGCAAAAGAAAGAAAACATCAGAAGATAAACGAAATTCTAAATAAATTTAAAGGCTTCTCTGGTAAGGCTGACAACGCATACAACTTCTGTTCATTATTAAAATTGAAAAATTATAAATTTAACCAGCCTAGTTCGACTATAAAGCAGGGACAATGACTTAGACTGGCAATGGTGGACGCTCAACTAGGAAGGCGTAATAATCAACTCTCTGAAGGGACCAGTTAAATGAAATAAGGAAATCACTTTGTCGACAACTACGACCCAACTATACGTTGTCAATGCCCCAAAGTACACGGAAAATTTGAATAAGACATTTTAATGGTTGGAGGTGTAGTTAAATAAATTCAGTTCAGAAACACAAAAATTCTATTCAGGTAAAAGGACGCTTCCTGGAGACTAGAAAATAAGTGGAAACAATAGTGTTATGGACGCTAACCAAAAAGGATACGGTGTTTTCTACCCCCGTGGTGCGTGCCAGGGTACGCAAATTTTGGCAAACACAATTAGCAAAGAGCGGGATCAAGATCAGCAGTCTGCGACAATGCTTCGAACTGAGTTTAGGCAGCATAGAAGACATGGTGAAAGTAAAAAGGCTGACATAAATTTACGCAGCATGTTGCAATTGGTGGGCACCAAGAAAACCAAGTAAGAAGAAAAACAACGCTCATTAAAATGTTACTTTTTAACTTATAGAAAGTTCCCTTGGAATTTTGCGAAATTAGCTCCTTCTTTACGTAGCAAAAACGAAGACCATGCAAAAGGAAAATGATGGTAGAATAAAAATGAAAAACAACCCTCTCGAACAAAACGCCAGCGACTGGGACGCCGGCAGCGGCGTCAGCAGCAGCGATAACGAAAAACTCATTTGCATACGAAGTGCTTTCGCTTTCTCTACCAACCCGCCGCGCCACTCTCCTAATTTTAAAGCATGGCGGCAATAGGCCACCTGCGTTTGTCGGAAAGAGAGGGTTACCTATGCTTGCGTCCTTGTTGCACATTTCCCTTCAAAGAGTTTAATGCTGGAACAACGCAGTCACAACCTGGGAAAGCGCCTTGATGGCATGAGGCAAAGCTTCTTGGTCTCCGGCTGACTAGCTGACTCGCTTCCGTTGCTGCTCATTATCAAGCAGCGAGCGTTAAACTCATTGAGACGTTTTACATCTCTACTCAATCTACACCCCTTGGGGCAAAGCTTTTCCAAGCAGCAGCAGTTCTCAGCGGTTTCTCTGACTCATTTCACATTTATATTTGTGTACCCTTACTCGTAGGGAAAACGGGTATAACGTATTTGTTAATTAGTATGTAACATACAGACAGAAGCACCCCATAAAGTGCATACATATCTTTACATATAATCTTCTTCTGCGGTCTGTAAGGTAGACTCAAATATTTATTTTGCAGGAAGCCCACTTTGGTTTGTGCCATCTTCAATTTAATTGGTACAAGGATACCTGATTAATTATTTTGAATTTCAGCAATAAAAAACGAAGCGATGAATTTTTACAACAATTTTCACGCCCACGTCTATATGAACGACGAAATCTCTGAAACTATAAGATCTAAAATATTGCGATTAAAGTTCAGTTTATAGTCAAGAATTCGCAGTGAAAAGGGAATTGCAGAGAGTACTCCCCCATTGAAACTGTTTATCTAATTAGCGGGTATCTGATAGTCGAGGCACTCGAGAAACGAGTTCCCCCTTGCTCGCATTGGTCTCTTCACAGTTCCAGAAAAGCTATGAGCAAAAAAAACAGTTCTGTTTAAAGAAAATTACAAACAACCCCTTTAGAATTAGATGCCAAGAAAGGACAAAAACTGATAAAGCTAGAAAAAGTTGCATATACTAAAGAACTTTTTTTTATTTGTGAACTAAAAATATTAAGAGCCAAAGGAGCGGAAATTATAAATTTTAAAAATTATTCATCACGTATATGATACGCAACATCGTGTAACTTAATACATTTTCAGACCTTATTCGTATTTGCACAATGTATCGTCTCAATAGAATAACCTTTATGCCAATTCTATAATAAAAGCACTGGTGATTACATAAACATTAGACAAGTGCAATAACTTCCACCCTCGCCCATATGTTTTTATTTCCCACAAATTTTCGACAATTTTGGACAAATTTACATGTATAAACCGCAACGACTTTAACGGCGGATACGGCAATTTTCCAACAACAATAACGAAAAACGGCACTACACACGCGATTTGCATGAGTTTCGCCAGGGATCTTTGTATTCCCTTGGGGAGGTCCTGGACCCTTTCTTCCCCCTTTTCGTGCAAAATTTGTTTAGAAAAAATCAAGTAAAAAACGTTAGAAAATTATATGCATGGTATGGTTGGTTGCCGGGTTACTTGTTGACATTCTGTGTACCGTGGAAAGTGAGCTATCAACAAGCTATCATTCACTACACACACTCGAATCTGTTTATGCATGTGTGGGCGAGGGCGTGTTGGCAAACTGTTGATACGAC